CTTTTTGGTGACGTATCTGTTTACTTTCTTACTAGGTCAAGATGAAAGAATTCTTTCTGTGTTCTAGATGCAAGTGCTTTTTGCAGATATGTGTTACCTAGTTTTAGCTTTACTATAAGGTCTTCTCTCATAGCTCAGTTTGTAAAGAATCCGCCTGCAATGCAGGAGACCCTGGTTCAATACCTGGGTCAGAAGATCTGCTGGAGAAAAGGATAGGCTACCCACTCCAGTATTCTTGGGCTTCCCTTGTGGCTAAGCTGGTAAAGAATCTACCCACAATGTGGGATACCTAAGTTCGATCCCCGGGCTGTGACGATCCCCTGGAGAAAGGAAAGTCTACCCACTCCAGTATCCTGGCCTGGAGAATTCCATGGACTGTATAGTCCATGGGGTTGCAAAGAGTTGGACACAACTGAGTGACTTTCACTTTCACTTTTCATTAGGTCTATGATCCATTTCACATTAATTTCTGTTTAAGCCGTGAGTTAAGGATTATGGGTCATTGTTTTCCAAATGAACATTCAATTGTTACAGTACCACTCAGTGAAGATGCTGTAATTTTTTCATTGTATTATTTTCACTTCTTTGTCAGAAAATCAGTTGACCATTAGGGTCTACTTCTGGACTTATTTCTGTTAAATTAATCTTCATGTCATTCCTTATGCTAGTACCACTGTCTTAGTTACTGTAGCTGTGTAAGTGTTGGAATCAGGTAGTATTAGTCCTCCAACTTGTTCTTTTTAAAATTCGTTTTGGCAATTCTAGGTCCTTTGCATTTTGATGTGAATTTGTGAATCAGCTTATCAATTTCTACCCCAAAATTTTATTAGGATTGTGTATAATCTATAATTTTAAGATTTTTCATGTGTGAATATGTCTCTTCATTTATCTGAGTCTTCTTTAATTTTCTCAGCAGTGTTTACTGGTTTCAGTATACATATCTATTTTTAAATAGTTTTATGGTGTCATAAATGGCGTTTTTTCCATTTTAAATTCCAGTTATTTTGCATACATGCTAGTATACAGAAATACAAAGCATATCTGTCTATTGGCCTTGTATCCTGGGACCATGTGAAACTTGCATGCTAATATAGCAACTTTGTAAATATTTTCCTATTTGAAAAATCAAAATAATATGGAAAGTGGACAGAACTTTTTTAAAGTGACCCATACATTGTAAGATCACAGAGTATACCAAAAATCTAGTTGTGAACTAGACTATTAATATGTAACCAGTTTGCTTTTGGACAGATCCCTTAACTCTTAAATTATGAAAATCTTGCCAAAGGATTGGTTGAAAAGAAATTAGAAATGAATTTTCCCAATGAAATCAAACTGATAAAAAGCACATGTCAGGTTTTGGCGGGGGGGTGGTTGTGTGTGTGTGTTTGTTGTTGTTGTTAATTTTTAAAATCATTCTGGGTCTCAGGAAAATTACCACTTCCTTCCAAAAATCTAAATAAACAAAGGCACAAGATAATGAGTTGCAAAATCTCCTTGGAGCACATGCACTCTAAAAGAAGAGAGAAGATGATGAAGAAAATGTCAACATACAAAAGTGTGTGAAAAGACAATGAGTTTTCACCAGTTCATCCTTTAACAAAGTTTTTCAGTCTCTTTCCTGGAACCGCTGAAGGACTAGGGAATAGTAAGGAAAGAACAGAGAAGAGTTAGTTAAAAGAGTGTCCCACAGTCCACCCTTTTGATAAGGCCAGTTGCTGAAAATATGGATTCTCCATTAGTGTAATTCCTATGAAATTCTGCTGCCCAGATTCCAGTCCTGTTTGCTTTGGCATCCTTCTCCCTGCCCGAGAAACGACTGCAATTGGCTTTGAGTGAAGAAATTCTAAAACCCTGAGATACAATGGGGCCCTTGTTAAGCGTGGAGTAGAACTAGGTAATAGAATTTTTTCTGCCAGAGGTCTTTATCTCTCGTTAACGTGCCAAACGTAGTCATTGAAGAGGCAAGGACTGGCCATTTTGTTATTTTGATCTGGCCACTCACCCAGACTGTTCTTGGTATTTAACATCTATATGACTCCAGCATTCCCTCCCATGCACAAAGCAGTTTTTGAGCCAGGTGGCTGCAGGGTATGGCCTTGAGTCAGATCTCATTGGCTGCCACGCACCTGATTGCTGGCTCTCCTGCCAGAAGGCAGTGGCTGAGTGAGTGTCACCATATGAGCCAGTCTGTGGCTCCTCTTGTTCCCTGGCTGAGCTGAGAGAGCAGTGCTTTGCCTTTTCTCTGTAGCATATGTGGGCATGTGAAGACACACACCCTCGTAACTTGGGGTTACCAACCTAAAGGTCAGGGACTGAATCTGCTGGCATTGCATCTGACTTTTGGCCAACCGAGAGGGCATTTTGTGTGGGTAGAGCATAGGCCCAGCAGCCAGCACCCTGGCTCAGGACCTGAGCTGGCTGTCAGCAGAGCTTGCACCTGCCCCATGACAATCTCATCTCTCAAGTAACCCACCTTTCCTGGGTAACCAAGCTGAGGAGAGGCATTGTGGCTCCTGCATGCCTCTTAGCAAGGATTTCTGATCTGTGTGTGGTGCTGAGTGCATGAGTGCCTTGCCATGGAGAGCACAGGTGGTCTACCTTGCCCATTTGCCAAGCCTCCCTGTTGTGCTACTTTGCAGGGTGGAATAGGAAGTAGGTGGGATGCACAAGTGAGTCTCCCCTGTAGTTCAGACAGGACCATCTCTGACCCTTGCCCCCCTCAAGCTGACTGATTCTCCAGTGTAAACCAGAGCCTGCAGAGGTGGAGGACAGACAGCAGAATTCCATTTTGGTCTGTTTAGCTTTATGTTCCAAAACTTAGAAATACTCATTCTTTCCAAATAATTTCAGTCTTGTGAGATAATAAAAAACTAATGAAGTACTGAAGCATCTGCAATTTTTGTTTCTTGCCAGCTTTTTCCTCTGCTTTCAGCTTCTAATTTGAAGTGCCTGGTACTTGCAGTTAGCACTGTGGGAAGCAGGGGGTTTCCTAAAGAGCCTGTCTGTTGAAAACATACCCAGAGGCAGGTGGTGGCCATTGGGAATATGTGGATTGAGGAGGTTGGGTTTCACTGATTTCCTTTTGGTTCAGTTTAGGTTCAGTTTACATACACACAGACATCTAAGACTTGCATAACATTAGAGCAGACTTCTCAGTGATCCCCAAAAGAGCGTAATCAAAATACTGTAAGCCTCAGCTGTGGATAGGTAAACACAATTGTGTCATGTCTTAATAAATTGGGCACAGCTTTGACTTCTGTTGTGTTGGGTCTTCACTTGTGCCCCAAAAATGAATTTCAGGACTCCTAAGAAGAGAGTGGCTCCCCTCTTCCACCTACCCAGGTAATACCATTTAGTGGTAGAGTTTGCCCAATACCCTTCCTACCTTCTCAAGGCTAGTTCAGCTCCTGCTTGGAGTTTGTGTGAGGAAATAAAATGATGACATGAGGCAGGTTGGAATGTGCATAATTGCTTGATCACTAGAATATTTTTAAGACTTCTAGTCTTTAAAAAAGTTACCTTGTATTCATTGCAAAGTGTCTGGATCTAACTAATTGCTCCACCTCCACGCTTTTCCTCAAAAAAAAAAAAAAAAGGAGCCCTATACTGCCTGGAAACCCACTTCCAAAGTAGGCTGGACTCACCAGCTGGAGACCCAAATCAAGGGGGAAGCAGAAGACCCAGGGGAGGGGGCTGGGAGATTGCCAGGAGTGGGTGTTTTTTCTTCATCTTTGAGAAGAAAGATGATCCTCTGATCCCACAGAGGTTCCCACTTAACATTGTTCTTGAGTTTTCTGCATACTTAGTGTGGAATCCTTGAAGACAGTTGGGAGCAAGGCTGGAAGTAACCTCGTGCTTAGTCTGTAGCAGGAAGGCAGAGCCCTTGGAACAAGAGAGGGCCTTGCTATGGGCTGAGTTGTTTCCCAGGAAAAGATATACAGAAACCTAACCCCTGAGACCTGTGAATATTGACCTTATTTAGAAATAGGGTCTTTACAGATGTAATTAAGTTATTGAGGTAGTAGACACCCTTAATGTCCTTATAATAGACACAGGGAGGAGTGTGTAGAGACATGGGGACTAAAGGCCACGTGATGGTGCAAGGAGTGACTGGAGCCACAAGCCAGGGGACAACTGAGCCCCCAGAAATTAGAAGAGGCAAGGGAGGACCTTCCCTGGAGCCTTTGGAGGGAGTGTGGCCCTGCCAACACCTTGATTTCAGACGTCCAGCCTCCAGAACTGTGAGAGAATAAATGTTCATTGTTTTTAAGTCTCCCAGTTTCTGGCACGTTGTTAACGGAAGCTCTAGCAAACTATGAAGAAAAAGTAGTAATATTAAAACTGAACCTTATCTGCTGGCTACTTTTGTTTATAGCTGGCCTCACTGTAACCCTGGCTTTTGATTAATGCCATTAAGAAACCACCATTGAACCTTAAGACTTTTCAGAGACGTGAGAAGCACCTGGGCTCAGAGAATGGTTTTTACCCAAACAGTTGCATTTACAGGTCCCTTTCAGTCACATAACTACTGAGACAGGCTGATGAAATAGTGAGACATGCTCCCGAGTCCAAGCTTCCTGACACCAAAGTCTGTGAGCCCCACTGTCATTTGGGAGGGACAAGTTGGCACCGCTCAGCATGAGATTCGAGAAGACAATACAGTGTGGACTCAGCGTTTTTATTCATAAGCTGTAAGCAGATACATGATCTTTTCTCTACTGTGATTTCTCATCTTTCTGTGGACTAGGAGTCTCTGTGGGAGCAATGGGAAAGCAACAGGGAACCTCTAGTGACACCAGGAGGCCCCACAGGCCTTTGCTCACCTCAGAAAATCATCTGCCAAGAAACGCAAGCCTGGACATTTCCTTCCGTGAGGACAGAAGGCCCTAGGCGACTAAGGCCCTGTGAAGGGGCCTGTTTGTGTGCGGGAGAGGTGCCCAAATACCGGGGGTGGGTGGATGTCTCAGGCTCCATCTTCTGTGTCCCTCAAACTGAGGTCAGATGTGGTGGCGGTTGTAGAGATAGGATGGGTATAGGCCATCGTAATGCCATTGGCGCCACTGCTCAATGGCCTCCCGGCTTCTCTCTTCCTGTTCTGGGGACAAGAGATGAAGTCCTCATGTGAGGATGGAGGGCTTGGATCTGGGCACAGCCATCAAGTCCCCCCAAAGTATCCACTCTACCCCCGTGACATGAACCATTGTGCCTGTGTACATGAGTGACAGACAGAATGTCTCAGCTGGAAGGGCCTAAAAGGATGCTGAATCTAAAGCCTCCCTTTTATGGATCTGGCCTAGTGCTAGTTGCCAGGAGAGCAGAAACCAGGATCCTACATTCCGTTCATTGCACGTTCCTGCTCAGCCAGCAAATTCGGGATAGCCGCATGCAAAAACTGGCCCAGAGACTCACCAACTAAGACAGGATACAAAATCATAGCGGCAGAAAAATAGATTGCAAAAGCATACTGTTGAAAAACTCATGAAAGGAAGTCACTGTCAATTTCAAGTGATGGGCTTGTGAGTGAGGTTTTCCCTCTGTTTCTTAGCTTTAAAAGTAAAGTTACGTGTTTTTTAGCCATCTGTATGTCTTCCTTGGAGAAATGTCTGTTTAGTTCTTTGGCCCATTTTTTGATTGGGTCATTTATTTTTCTGGAGTTGAGCTGGAGGAGTTGCTTGTATATTTTTGAGATTAATCCTTTGTCTGTTGCTTCGTTTGCTATTATTTTCTCCCAATCTGAGGGCTGTCTTTTCACCTTGTTTATAGTTTCCTTTGTTGTGCAAAAGCTTTTAAGTTTCATTAGGTCCCATTTGTTTATTTATGCTTTTGTTTCTAATATTCTGGGATGTGGGTCATAGAGGATCCTGCTGTGATTTGTGTCGGAGAGTGTTTTGCCTGTGTTCTCCTCTAGGAGTGTTATAGTTTCTGGTCTTACATTTAGATCTTTAATCCATTTTGAGTTTATTTTTGTGTATGGTGTTAGAAGTGGTTTTACAAGTGGTTGACCAGTTTTCCCAACACCATGTTTATCATAGCCAGGACATGGAAGCAGCCTAGATGCCCATCAGCAGACGAATGGATAAGGAAGCTGTGGTACATATACACCATGGAATATTACTCAGCCATTAAAAAGAATTCATTTGAATCAGTTCTAATGAGATGGATGAAACTGGAGCCCATTATACAGAGTGAAGTAAGCCAGAAAGATAAAGACCATTACAGTATACTAACACATATATATGGAATTTAGAAAGATGGTGATGATAACCCTATATGCAAAACAGAAAAAGAGACATAGATGTACAGAACAGACTTTTGGACTATGTGGGAGAAGGCAAGGGTGGGATGTTTCAAGAGAACAGCATCGAAACATGTATATTATCTAGGGTGAAACAGATCACCAGCCCAGGTTGGATGCATGAGACAAGTGCTTGGGACTAGTGCACTGGGAAGACCCAGAGGGATCGGGCGGAGAGGGAGGTGAGAGGGGGGATCGGGATGGGGAACACATGTAAATCCATGGCTGATTCATGTCAATGTATGACAAAACCCACTACAATATTGTAAAGTAAATAGCCTCCAACTAATAAATTTAAAAAAAAAAAAAAGTAAAATTACGTTGTTACAACTAATTGGGAAAAGGGCTGGACCAAGCAAGTGCAGGGAAATCTTAATAACTGCTGATTCTGGGTGATGGTTATATGAGGGTTTGTTATAATACATATTTTTCCATATCTTTGAAATGTTTCATAGTAAAAAGCTAGAAAGAACAGAAGGGAGTTTTTAATGAGTAAGAAATCTCAATTTTCTGTCCTTGATGAGATGTGTTTCTTTTTTTTTTTCTTTTTGTTGGTCTTGTTTATCTCACAAGACCTCCAAAAATTATGTAGAACTCCCCTATAGCCCTCCTCAGGGGTGGGGGGGGACCCTAACTCTGAATAGGGCTTCTGTTGTGGCTCAACTGGTAAGAATCCAAATAACACATTTGTGAAGCTATGGAATTAGGCTTCTGATGCCAGTTCAGGACTGCCTGTTAGCCACTGTTGTTGTTCAGTTGGTAAGTTGTGTCCGACTCTTTGCAACTGCATGGACTTCCCTGTCCTTGTTAGCCACTGTTAGGTACCACTGAACCATGAGCAGACATCCCAAGGCCATCAGTGTTTAAAAAGCATCCTCAAAAAGGTAAACAGAATTACCATGTGGGAATAGATGAAAAAGATGAAATGTGGGAAGATAGACTATAATGTCTAGATATACAGAATTACCATGTGGGAATAGATGAAAAAGATGAAATGTGGGAAGATAGACTATAATGTCTAGATATGTCTGTGTGTATTCAGCCATGAAAAGGAATGTGGTTTTAATATCTGCTGTAACATGAATGAACCTTGGAACATGCTAGGTGAAACACACCAGACACAAAAAGAAAGATATTGTGTGATTTGTCTTCTGTGAAGTATGTAGTATAGGCAAATTTGTATGGACAGAGACTATATTAGAGGTTTCCAGAGGCTGTGGGGATAAGGGGAATTAATGCATGATGGGTGCAAAATTTGAGGTGATGAAAGTGTTTTGGAAATAAATAATGGTGGTGGTTGTGAATGTACTAAACGCCACTGAATTGTACACTTAAAAAAAAAAAATAAGTGAAGGTGACAAATTTAATATTCTGTATATTTTACCACAATTTTTTTTGAGTATTTGGGGAGAATGATGGGAGGATAGAAAGTTAATAGAAGCTAATAGCAAGCTCTATGATGCATTTGATCATCCTTCATTTACAAAAACATGGGCTTTGCTGTCAAACACGCCTACGTTTAAATTCCTTACTACCTATGTCACCTTGGACATTCACATATTCTTTCAAAGACTGGGTTTTTGAAACTGTAAATTGGAAATTGTAAGACCGAAGAACTGGCCATAAGATTATGTAGTTCAGTACAGAGTCTGGCAGGACAAGTGCTCAACCCATGACAATAGCTGCTGTCACCACATCCCCCGAAGGCCTGTGTCCTGCAGCCTTTTCATCTGTGGGCAGCACCCGAGGCCTAAGCTTCAGTCTCCTCTAGCTTTGCTGGAGGACCTAGCATCCCTCAGGTGCCTCACCCCTCATCCTGATTCATTGTGGAAGGAAAACAGTGAACATTTTCCATCCAGGGGCCAGGGACTTCGACCTGAAACATTTAAAAATGCACAAAATAAAATGCTGTTATTGATACTATGAGTTTAAAAAAAAACACTGAAAGAATTTTAGAGGCCACATTCTCATTTTTTAAATGCCTTGCCCCAAGCTGTCTACCAAGTTAAACAAATCTGTAACAGAAATATTTGCCTCCGAGTTACAATAGTCTTAGCTTTTTCTGGGACGATCGATTTGCCAGGATCCTGCCCAACACCTGTCTGCAGCGCTCAGGCAGGTGTCACCTGCAAGACAGTCAGTGTGGCCTTCAGCCCTCTGGGACCTGGTGATGGTGTCCTTTCCACTAAGAGATGCTCTAAGGGCACCTCACCTCTCAAATGCACCAGAGCGAGCAAGTGAGGAGGTTGGTGACTTCAGAAATGAAATCACACTTTCTCTAACAAAGGTCACCTTAACTGGGGTCTTAATGCCTATGTTCATCTGCATCCAAGAACTTACTCAGAAGCATTTCAATCTTGAAGTTTCAAGAAAGAGCAAAAAAGTAATAAACACACACGTTGGCCTGCCTGGTCTGAACCCTGTACATGTTCTGTGGGTTTCTGGCCGTGAGTGACACGTGAGAGTAGTCAATGAATACGAAGTCGAATCCCCTCAGTGTGGAAGGCTGTGGTTCGAAGGTAGAGTGTCCATCCACCCATGCCCACACCCAGAAGCCCTGCTGAAACCAGCATTCCCAAGGGGAGGCTGGAGCCATCTCCCAGGAGCAGAGGGTGGGGATGAGGTGTGCAGACTGCCTGGTGAGAGACACACAGGCAAAGGCCAAGGCTTTCCAAATAAGACACTCACAGCAACTGGATGGGTTTGCAAACCACATAGGAACTTGCAGGGGCCCAATGCTATGAGTGAGGGGAGCCATCCCGGGGGCTGTAGATGTTCAAGTTGGAGTGGGGAGGGTACAGAACTGAGTTCATTTGTCGGGTTTGCTTCCACCAGTCACAAAATGCTGATAATAGTGACTAGGGAAGTGAAGTCCCAGGTTTTCCAGGATGGGCAGTTCTAGAGCCATGACGTTGATGTAAATCCAAGCCACTTGAAAGTGAGTTTGAAATCCCCCCAACCCAACCCTGGGAACGATGGCACAAGTGTAGGTACTGAGACAGAGCACTCCCAAGTAGGAGGAGAAAACACCATCAACCAAAAACTCCCCAGCCCCACAGTCCCCAACCAGTGGGTACCCTCCGTGTTCTGGCCTCTTCCATGCCTTCTCAGGTTCTGTAGCTACTTTTGTGACTTTCTCCCCTTTTTATTTTATTTTTTTTGAGACTCCCATAGACATGAATTGAAAGTAGAGCTGCTCTTATCTTCCTCCTCTAATTCAAACTTGGTACATAAATAAATAAAATTTAAGGAAAAGTATAGGCAGATCACATGGTTTTCCCACAAGCTTTCAATTCCCAAAAGTCACCGGCTGATGAGCTCTTACCGTCGTTTTGCTCCTCCACGAAGTTCTCAAACTCGTTCCTTTGCTCTTCATGATACTCTCTCCGCAGCTCGTCTGCCCGCAGCTTCTGCCTGTTCTCCACTGGGGGAGGGGAAGGCGAGAGTTACCCCCAAGAATAGGGGCAGCCACATGCATTGAGGGGGGCACCAGTCATTCTGCATAAGAAACTTAGGTGCCGATGAGGCTGTTTGTGAGGGGTAAGTGCGGGGCCTCACTGCAGTGGTTCACCCTTCACATAGACTTTAAAACCTGAGGGACCCAGGAGAGCATCCCAGCCAACCACCTCATTTTGTGACTTTAGAGGACCGAGGCCCCAAAAGGTGAAGCCATTTAGCTCTAGTCATAAAATTGAGTGGTGTAGCCAAGCTTGCTGGCCCTCCCAGAAACTAGTTCTCTCAGATGATAGAAATGAATTCCATGAGGGAATAATCCAACTTTCCACTAACACTTGCATATCCATTCTGCAACTTTGAGCACCTGTCATGGCCAGAATATATGCTAAGCACTGGGATTAAAAAAGCAAGTAAGAAAGATCCTGTCCCTCTGCCTAAGAAGTCTGTAGTCCGCTTAAGGAAAAGATAGGAAAATAAATTGCACCCAACATTGTGGCTGCTATGATGGAAATCACCACAGGGCCTGAAGGTGGATGGTGTTGTCATCTTTACATTGACCTCTTCAGTGTGAGAACTGTGATTGTCTGGAGGAAATTCTTTCAACAGCACCTCAGTCTCCCCACTGTGACATGAGGAAATCACACCATACTTGTGTGAGGCACTCTGAGGGACTACTAGCTCTCCTGCCCCACTCGTGGCCTTCCTGCCTATGGAGCTTTCCAGTGAAAGCCTCATCAAAAGAAGTATCTTGAAACTAAGAGAGCCACAAGTTGGATCTCTGACTCGGCAGTGAATAAGACAAGATGCTGGATGCTGTTTTTATACCATGCACTGTGTACCTAGGATACATCCCTCCTCAGGAACATGCCTTTCCTCCGATTAATTCCTTTCACTGTAAAGTAACCTGCATCTTTACCCAGAAGCTTAGAGATAGGAGATGCCTGTTTTTTGCTTCCAAGTTTGTTTATCAAAGTGTCGCCTTCCTTTACTGAACCTGAGACATAAGTGGGCATTGTTCTCCTGCCCAGCGCCAGAGCTGACAGGGTGACAGCAGATGAACTCAGGTGCATCCAAGGTGTTCACCAGGTTGTCCTGGACACCCATGCCTGAGACCTTGAGCTTCCAACCCGGGTGACAGATCTCTGGCTTAATCATGTACCTCATTCTGAATCCCCTTAAAGGATGGAAACTATTCGCCTCCTAAATTCACACCCATTCCCCACTGGGAGCCTGCCAGAAGGTTGCTTCTCTCATTTCCATCAAGAACTGCCCAAGCTCCATCACAGTCTTTTCAGGGTTTCTTGACATTTGCTAACCTTTAAATCCCAAATTGTGTGAGGCCTGGAGATACTCCCAGTGTGGGTTGTACTTCTCCAATTAAAAAATAAATAAATAAATAAAAGCTAATTTTATCTCCAAGCATTTTCATCTCACTTCTTGCCCATCGTTTGAAAACAGTCCTGTTATTTTCACTGAGCGAGTTACCTTGCTGAGTGTGCTGAGAGGCACAAAGAGTTTATTCAGACACACAGAAATGACGAATCAAGCCTTGGACTCAGCGACTGTCAGAGCTGAGTCCTTGGAAGAATCTAGTTCAAGGACAGAAAACTCAAATGCTTTCAAGGGTCGGCAGGTCATGGAAATGAGGGTCGTTGCAGGCAGGGGACACCAAGGCCAACTTTAGGCTGAGGAAACATCCTTCCAAGCTCAAAAGTCTCCCAACTGCAGTGGAAGTGAAGACTTAAAAACACTGCTGGCTGCTCACCGCTCCTTAAATAAGGGGCTTATAAATAAGGAAACTTGGGCCCAGGGAGAGGAAGTCGTCAAGGCCACTTAGCAGCAAAGCTGTCACCAAACCCACATTTCCAGTTCCCTGTCCCACGTGCCTCTTCCTGCCTGCAGTGCTGCTTTCTTGCCTGTAAAGGTACACCACAAATTATCCAGAAAGCACACACTGAGCTGCTGTGTCCGCACTCCACCAGCACATAGATTTCCCCCATAACTTTTTTTTGTTTTTTGGCTGCTCCACGTGCATGTGGGATCTTAGTTCCCCAACTGCAGATTGACCCGTGTCCTCTCAATGAAAGTGCAAAGTCTTAACCACTGAACCACCAGGCAAGTTCTCCCTCTTAACATTTGTAACTTTCAGAAGTTGAGGTGCAGTTCATCAGCTTCAGTGCATTCATGTGGCCCTGTCCCTCTTTGTTCCTTACCCTGACAGCATAGCCAATCAAGACTGACCTACAGTCAAAGAAACATGGTGTAACTTCTGATTCAGAGCTACAGTTACTTTGACACCCGAGGACCTGAGTTGAGTCCTCGGTCCCTGGCCATCCCCGCAGCCCAGCTGACTATGGGATAGAGAAGGAACAGGAAGGAGCAAGAGCAGAAGGCAGGCCGCGCAGCATCTTACCATTGACCTCGTCTTGGGATCTAGGGGACCGCTTGCTGCGCTTCTTGAGGAAATTCAAGGCATCTGATTCCTGCATGAACATCTCTTCCACCCGAGGAGAGAGGCCAGTCACACGGGCTTATCAAGGCTACCTCAGGAGCCAACCCATCCACCCCGCACCCTCGGGCGGCCCCGGTACTCACCATCCTGTGCCTCTTGTCCTGCCACCTGCCTCATGCCCACTGACACAGCGGCCCCCTCCCGCAGCACTGTGGGACGAGAGCACAGCGTGAGGGCTGCAGCACCCCAAGGGAAGTCCTCACCCCCAGACCGGCCAGGGCGGTCCTTCCCAGGCCCTGTGACTTGCCCTGGAGCCCTGAATACAAGTACCAGCCGCCGTCAGTCTCCAGGAAACTGTCAGACAAGCTTTTTCCCTGTGCTGCATTATGTTACACATGCACACACAAGTACAGCCGTCTTAACAACAGGCACCCTCTTTACCTGGGCCACCTAAATCGCCTCACCTAACACCAGGTCCATCCTGTAACCTCCCCATACTCACTGGACAGGAGTGCAATGGCTGCAAGACAGATCAGAAACAGCTGTCTCCAGGCCATCTTTGGAAAGGCTGAGGCTCTGTCTGGGGACCAAAGAGGATTCTGCAGACCTTGAGGTTGCCGGGTCCTCACTTCTGTGTCAGGCAGGCCAGGAGGGAAGGAGAGAGAGAGGCAGGAGGCAGGGATGCCACTGAGGGGATGTGGGAGGGGGTCCCAGCCGTGGCTTCCATTGGCTGCTCCTACCAGAGCACTGGAGATGTTTTTGGCACCTTGCAAACCTCACAGAAGCAGAGCTTGTCACTGGGGCCCAAGCCGGGACAGTTCAGAAGTGGCCTTTCCAAGATCTGCACCCTAGCAGTTGCTGCTGGAACACCCAGCCTCTGAGTCAGGATTCCAAAGATCAAGGGCAAGTTTCAAAGGCCCCTGGCATCTGCTTCAGAGGAGGTGGGGGCTCTAGTCCTGGAGCTGAAGTATCCAGGAGGGAGGGAGGGAGGCTCAGTGGGGGGATTTGATTCAGCTGTCAGGCTAGGAGGGACCGTAAAAGCTGGAAGACCCCCCACCCATGGTGACGCTCACATGGACATGTGGGCTGTCCTGGTGGCCCCCAGCTTAACATGTCCCCAGCTGATGCTGACTTTTAAGAGAAGCACAGACCCCTTTCAAGACTTCAAGGAAAGGAGGCAGTCAGCCTTCCGCGGAGGAGTTGGGGAGTGCAATGTGGGTGGACTTCTCAAAGGCACACCCTGTGTAGGTGAGAAAGTACATTCCCAGAATTGGGAATGCTGATGGAATCCAGGCCCTCTGAGGCCATCAGCCTCCAGTCCCTGAGGAGCACTGTTCTTAACACTGTCATTTATTCTGAACTGTCCAAAGAGTCACCTTTGGGTATTGGTTAGAATTGTCCTAATGGTGACTATCACTAGACCCACCCACACAAAGCTCCCATTTCATTAGACATATGTAGTAACATCCCACTTGGACCATTGGCAGGAAAAGAACGTTAATAGCAACAACAACAACAACAAAAAATAGCCAAGGCAGAGCAAACAAAACAAATGAATTGTTTTCTTGGTGTCTGGGAGCACACAGAGGGCTCCCCTTCGACACTGGCTGGCCTGCTTAACCAGGCACAGGTGGGCTCTGCACGGTCACTCCAAGAGGGGCAATGCCCATGAAAACATATCTGCAAGGTTTTATCTGTCAGGTTAAATGGTTGTCACTTCAAGGAGGGAAGGGACACAAGACAGCGATGTTGATGGGCCTCGTAGGTGAGAAAATGGGTGTGTGAAATACGATCGACATCCTTGATACCCTAGTTGTTCTTGCTGCTTTTTTAGCTCCATTCACGTCAAGCACGAACGTTTACCAAACACCTACTCTAAGCCAGGCACCTGTGCTAGTCACACACTCACCAGCTTTTAGTAAATCTGCCCTACGTGTCCTAAGTACCTTCCACCCAAGATCAGATTCTGTGCATTCACTGGCCACGCAGAAGGGCTTAGGGAGAAATCTCAAGCCCTAGGAAGTCCTCTCTAGACCATCCTGGGAGAACAGGGCAGGAGGTCTAGAATGGAGAATGGAGGCTTGGAGTGGGATGTAAGCTCAGTTCTGGAAGAAGAAGATTACATTTCCTACATACCTAGGCTGGTGGCCTGAGATTTTTGTCGGCTACGCTGCTGTGCTCTACGGAATGATCTAGTCACAACTGGCCTCCAAGTGTTACCTCTCAGTTGCTCCAGAGCGTTCTCTCACTCTAGAGCTACTGGCATCTATGCTTGCCGTGCTCTTTCATTTTCTGCCTTCAGCTCCCCTGCCTCCGGGGCTGCTCACCGCGCCTGGCTGTGCTGCGGAGGTGACCTTGTGACATCATACCCCAGGCGTATAACAGGCAACCCACCTCAAGGCAGAAGCATGGTTCTTAGTGCAACTATAATTTTATGAATATGCGAAAACCCATTGAGTTGTACACTTTACATGGATGAATTGCATGGTATGTGAGTAATATCTCAAAAAAACTGTTAGAAAAAACTTATGTATAAGAACCCTGGTGGTCCAGTGGTTGAGAATCTGCCTTTCAGTGTAGGGGATGCCGGTTCAGTACCTGATGGGGGAACCAAGATCTCACATGCCGTGGGGCAACTAAGCCTACATGCTGCAACTACTGAACCCATACACTGCAACTAAAGAAACCCCCACATGCCTCAGTGAAGACCTGGCACAGAAAAAGACATGTACATATGTACATATGTTACCCAATATGAAAACAGCTTCAGGACTTCATGTTTAAGGATCATGGGGTAGGGGTGGGTAGAGAGAGTCAGGAAGACTAGAAAGGCAATGATGACTAAGATGAGGCTTGAAAGACTTCAAGAGCCCACTTAGATGGAAGGTACTGACAAAGGGCCCAGAGAAGTAAAGCCCTTTTGAGAAACTTCAGTCAGCGAGTAATAGGAGAGCAGGAGAGCACATGAACAGCTAGGGACAGCCAGGGCCTAGGTCATGGTGGAAGAGGTCTGGCCTCCATCCTTGGGAGACTAGCATGACATCTGTAAGCGCATGTCCCAGGGTCAGTCCCCCAGTTCATTCCCAGCATGGCCTTGGGCAGGTGATTTTACCTCTCTCTGCCTGATTCCCTGCTCTGGCACATAGATTGATGTGAGAGTTGGCAATAACGCATCCACAGTTCTTAGGACAGTGCCTGGCACACACAGATTATATATGTGTTTGTTCTCATGACTCAATAGTGGACCATTGAATGGTTTTGAGCAGGGAAGGGACACGAGGATTTTGTTTAGGAAGATCACACCCATGACATGGAGGGTGAAAGGGATTAAAGTGGAGAGACTTAGAGAAGGCTGTTGCGGTAGTCCAGGTGAGAGATGATGTCAGCAAGTGGCAGAAGGCTCAGCAATGGAGAGGACAGATATTTTAAGAGATCAAAGGAATAGAATCAGTAAGACTGGATGACTGATTAGGTCAGGAAGTGACAGATTGGGAGGTGTGCTTTTCAGGTCGCTTGTGAGTTTTTAGTTTGACTAACTGGGTGAAAGGATGCTAAGATCATTTGGTAAGATGGAGAAAACAGAAAAAGTTTGAAGAATGTGTCATTGGACAAATCAAGTCCAGTGATTTGTGGATCCAAACCAGGTCTTCTGATGCTGAATCCAGTGTTCTTCCCATTTCCCCCAAAATCCTAATTTTGTGAATATACTAAACTAAAATAATAATTTTATGAATAAAGGTTTAGTATATTCTAAGTCAATTTTAGAACACTTTCATCACCCTCTAAAAGAAATTCTATACCCATTAGCAGTCAATCCCCATTTATTTTCTCCATCCCCTCTAGGTCAACCACTAATCTGCTTTCTGACTCTGGATTTCCCTATTCTGGATATTTCATCTAAAAGGAATCATACCCTACATGGCCTTTTCTGACTGACTTCTTTCACTTTAAATACTGTGTTCAAGGCTCATTTAGGTTGTAACATGCGTTAGTACTTCATTCCTTCTTATTGCTTAATCCTTAATCCTGTTGTATAGATATACCACATTTTATTTATCCACTCATCAGTTGATGGACATGTGCGTTACTTCTCCATTTTGGCTGTTATAAGTGATGCTGCTGTGAACATTCTTGTGCACATTTTTGTGTGGGGATGTTTTCATTTCTGTTGGATGGATACCTCGGTGTAGAATTTGGGGATCATGGAGTCGCTCCATGTTTAACTTCTGAGAAACTCACTTTTAGCTAAAATGTTCATTTACTAGTCTATCTTGTTCAGTGCTATAAGGTCTTCTGGAGAAGTTTCTACCTTGTTCATACCTGACATAGTCTCTGGCTCCAAATTGATGCTTCATAAATATCTCGATAAACGTTAACCAGTAAAGTGCTCTGGAGTGAAGGCCTTAAGAGGGAGCATTTCTGAGTTCATTTCAATGGGCTATTCATAAGAAGGCACCAGTTTTAACTTTGACAAGGGCACTGACTCCACATGTCCCTTGATCCACCCGGGAATGAGGGCATCATTCATATAAGTGGAAATGATCCTCAGGGAGTGGGTCCGTGAGGGTAAGGTCACTAGATGCCATGGTCCAACTGTCAGTGTTACCCTGAACTGAATATATAAAAGTCTATAAAAAATACTAAGAATATATTATGTTCTTTCATTGCACGTCATTGTCAATGGACTGATTAGGCCCCTGAGCACCTCCCCTCCGTGTGGCAAAGGTGGGTTAAGGACTGTACCATAAAGGGGACTCATGACCCTTGGGACCAAGAGATCTCAGAGCTCGGCCCCTTTAGGAGCCCCACAGAATGTTTAAATGGACACCTTTCCTGCTACCCGCTCAGTAAGAAGGAAACACCATAGATGTGAAAGTGAAGGCTTCTTGGTGGCTATGGGACTGACCATTTGGGGGGAAAAAAAGACATTTCAGCTCATTTGGAGTCCCTCTAGATCTGACTATGTTGACATATGTGAGTTTGGAAAATGAGGACTTTGTGAGTCAGGACAACATTTCTATAACATTTCAGTCTTCTTATTTTCCTGTGAAAGACATTCAGTTCTCTAAGCCCCTGGCTGGAGTGTCACAGAGGTTCCTTATGGTGCTTTCCCTCAGATGCCATAGAAATATTATCAGTCACTCTGAAAACGGTGTCTAGAAGTCTGTTGGTGAAATTAAGTCTTCAGGATATGTCTCTATTCAGAGCAGTCAGCATCACTAGGCTCATGGCATATTCCCAGTGTGAGGAGCAACTTCTCTGAGGCTGAAGAGGAAGTTATAAATCCATCTCTGTGTCTTACTTTCCCCACACACAATACAAGGAAGCTGAGAAACATTTATCTTCCACCGTCACCACCAGCACACATGATACATGAGCTGAGAAAAGCTTTGAAAGGGCATGAGGTATTCTACAGCTACATGAAGTACTGCCATGAATATCTGAGTTGATATTCAGCAGCAAACACTGTTATGGCTAAAGCAAGTTACTAAAATATCCAAATACTTCCTTATCAGTTCTTCAGTAGCCACTTTCCTCAGCCATCTACCACCCTCTG